CCCGTTCTCTTCGAAACCGGCGTCCAAGAGTCTCTGGTACCAGGCTGGATTCGTTTCACGAGCTTTGTATACCTCGCCGTCCTTAACCGCGAGCAACGAAGCCAAGGTGCTCCCGAATGAGTGGCTTTCTGCGACGGAGATTGCTTGTTCTGTCGGGGTTTGGGTGTCCCCTTGCTTTTCAAGGTCTCGGGGGTGAGATTCAGCCATGTTTGGCAGGGTAACAAAGATGGATCTGGCGGCAAGATGAGCAGCTTATGGTGCACAGCAAACTGGGACAGGTATATGACAGGTGTGAAATATCTTCCCAAGACTTTGAAGAGTCCATTACGATCCGGACATCAATGTGTGCGGGGAGTCGAGGGATTTTAAGGGGAAACCAGCCCCCGAAGAGACGAGATACATTTTCATCACATCTCGGCGAGCTGTGAGTAGTCATCAAGATACTGCAGCGACATCTATCCCATCATCTCATGTCATAATTTACGCCCAACACGAAAAGCACCATACACTCTGCGTGCTTTGGGGTCCACTAACAGAGTGCAGCTTCCGATAAGGGAGTCTTGCAGCACCACCACTTACGATGGAGCAACATCGATTGGAGGGCCGACACTGAGGCCGAGCTAGAGCTGCAAAGAGATCACGGAGCAGGGTGCGAGCAGGGTGTGTCGTGCAGACATGAGGTGCCATACGGGGTATAGTTTGGGCAGTGACAAGCTGGGGGACGCTGGTAAAAGCGGTGGGATCCTTGCTCGTCTGGGCAGTTGTCACAAGAGAGCTAGGTATCAGGCCAGGAATTGGGGTTGAGAAAGGCGCCATGCGGGCGTCTAGTTCCTGTATTTCCGCCTCCCCCGCTGACTGAGGAATGGCCCTAGGTACCAGTGGGGGGGGGGGGGGGGACGGAAGTACTGTACAAGAAGATCGTCAGGAGGGGCGACATTTCCCGGATCGACAATGCTTTTCGGCTTCTTTCGAGATGCCAGATTTCGGAATGCCCTCAAGTTGGTCTTACAAAACTCCATATCACACGACCACAAAGGAATGCGGCTCTTCGTCCCAATGGAACATCAGATCGATCCAATCTGTCGGAATCAAGGCGTACAAGACCAATTGGCACTCATGCGGCAGCCAACAGTGGGGGTGTTGACCCAGGGAACCGAACCATCTTGGTGGGGGAGCTAGGGGCTGGGGAACCAAGATCGATTCAGGCAACGTGCCGTGCCGATCTAGTAATATTGACCCATGGTCCACCGAACGGTTGCGATGGGATATCGAAAGATATGGTGTGCAAATTTACTCCCAGCTAGGTATGCATCCGCGATGCTGGTGGGAGGAGGTCTCCCACAACCTGGAAGTTGGAACTGTTGTGCTACCGCATCACTTTGCCAAATGGGTATGGTACCCAATCCGGTAAAGTTGACTTGAGTGGAAATCTGTCTGCAACAGACCGTATCTGGTGTGCAGTTGCAAATTGGAGTAAGTTTACTGAGGAAAAAAGAAAAGAAGATAGAGTGCCGATCCTCTGCGGTCTGGTGAATTTACCAACCGATCATGGTCACACGCGGTGTTGGAAATTACTTGGGACACTAACAATTGCTGGATGTTAAGCGCAGTGTCCCAAGTAATTTCCAACACCGCGTGGGTCACTGGTCAATGAAGACAGCCGAAAGCCATGACGATGGAGCTAAGTTCCAAGCGCCAAGACACTTCGTCATCCGGGCGCTGCAGGCTCTTATCAGGATTGATAAGGATTAGGGGTCTGCACTTCTCTCTACGAGGGCTGATATGCGGAACTGGGATAAAATAAGAAAATTGCCTGAACCAAAATTAATAGCCCCACCCTAGCCGTCGCCGTGGCGCTGCGACCAAGCGTTCAGTCGGTAAGTGGACGTGGTGGGGTCTGATGGCCGCCCGCAAGCCCAACTCCGTGTTTCGAAGTCCAGACGTGCTTGACCTTTCCAAGTTGCAGAATCTCGAAACCCAGATCGACTTTGTTTTTGCTGCCGGGTCGTTGTTAACTTGATGCTCCTGAGCTTTACACCAAAGCGACGAACTTAATACCCAGGAAATCCCAAAATCCCCTGCGCTTGCCGATAGCCTCAGCCAGGGTCTGGCCTGGACGCGGCGCCATGGACGGCCTCTCCATCATCAAAGATCAACAAAAGGGTAGGTCTTGGTTCACTGGCTACAGATACCCGTACTCGTTTGGCTCTCAAATGTTGACTGTAACTCCAACCTTCAGCGATCATCGACACAATTCGACGAATAACCCAAGGCGATGTGAGCTCGACCCCTTAATTACACCACCCCACCTTCAACAACCGAGATGCGCTCTGAATACTGATACTGGCGCCCTGGATGTAGTGGAAAGTTTTGGTACTCGACGAAACCACCAAGCAAATTGTCGACAGCTCCGTCAACGAAGATGATATCCTCAACCACAACATCGCCAACATTGAGCGCATCGAGGAACGAAGGGCTCCAAACCCTGAGATGGATGCCATATACTTCCTGTCGCCGAAGCCCCATATCGTCGATTGTCTTCTAGCCGACTTCGAGCGCCGCAGGTATAGAAGCGGCTTTCTTGTATGGACGGGCTTCCTGCCAGATTACTTGCAACGCAAACTCGAAGTCGCCCGGAGATACATTGCAGCTCAACCCCCTCCGCTCCTCGTCGACTTTTTCCCCCGCGAATCGCATCTCGTTACTTTCAAGGATCCCCACAGCTTTCTGCTTCTCTACAACCCCTTTTGCAACGATATAGTGGGAGGGTACTTGAAAGATCTCGCCCGCAAGATCGCGTCAGTATGTATTACTCTAGGAGAGCGACCTAAAGTGCGATACTACGCTCCAAGGAATGACACGTATGAAGCAAACGTGCTGTGTTTTCACTTGGCAAATTTTGTGTGGAAGGAACTCAAGACGTATCACGACTGGAACAAAAACTATCCGCCTCCAAGCTCCCGGCCGCAGTCTACGCTACTCATCACTGATAGGTCGATGGATCTCATGGCACCATTAGTCCACGAGCTGACATATCAAGCCATGATTCACGACCTGCTTCCATTAAGGGAAGAGCCGGATGGCAAGGTGACATACCATATGACCATAAATGAAGGAGCAGCAAATGAAGAGGAGAAGGACATGCCGCTGCATGATAAGGATAGCGTTTGGGTCCAGTATCGGCATCGGCATATTCAAGACACCTTGGAGAAACTCCCAGAGGACTTCCAGAAATTCCGCAACCAGAACCCCAACTTTTCGGGCCAGAATCAAAACAGCACCAGTTTGAATGACATCAGAGACATGATGGCAGGACTCCCGCAGTACACAGAGATGAAAGAAGCATATTCTCTTCATGTCAACATGGCGCAGGAAGTCAAGAACATTTTCGCAAATTACAAGCTCTTTGAGGTCACAGAAATTGAGCAAACCCTCGCAACTGGGCTCGACGAAAACTTGAAGAAACCAAAGGGCATCCTCGAGCAGGTTGTCCGACTTTTAGATGACCCAAATGTTACGCCGAACGACAGATTGCGACTAGTCGCGATTTACGCATTATTCCGCGACGGCATGATTTCTGAGGATATAATGAGGCTTTTATGGCATGCGCAGTTACAGCGCTCGCGAGATAGCACTGACAAGCTCATAATCGAAAACCTGGAGCTCCTTGGTGCCCGCCCCCTCAAAGGTCTCAAGGAAGCCCGGCAGCCTATCCCGCCGTTGTTCCCACCAAAAACCGACGACACCAACAACACAAACAGCCTCTCCCGATTTGAGCCAGCGGTCAAGCACATGCTTGAAGATTTCTGCAATGGCAACCTCGACTCGACCTTATTCCCATACCACGACGAAGACAAGCCGAAGGCTGATGAGCAAGAAGGTCCCAATACTCAAGGCTCCCTCCGCTCTGCAGCGCCCCGATGGGCTTCAGCCAACCGTCGGCAAGTCGAAAACCGCCAGCGTATTATTGTTTTCGTCGCTGGTGGCGCCACTTACTCAGAATCGCGAGCATGCTACGAAGTTTCTGAAAAACACAACCGCGATGTGTACCTCGTTACCTCCCACTCCGTCTCACCCGCCAAGTATATCGAGGACCTCCGTCTTCTTAACGCCGACAGACGCAGACTTAATTTGCCTCAAGATCAGCCACCCCCCAAGGCTCCAGCACACCTGTTTGAACAACCTGCGCCCCCACCGCAGCAACCGAGGCCGCAGGCTCCCCCGCGCATGGGTCCTCCAGGAATGGGAATGGGAGGGCAAATGCCTGCCGGTGGACCGAGACCGCCAGTCAAGGCTTTAGGCGCCATGACTCTGAACAGCGGGAGTGGCCCGGTTAGTGATCATCAGAGATCAGGGTCTACCGCCTCGGCTGCTAGCGGCAGTGATAAGAAGAAGGACAAGGAAAAGGGGGAGAAGAAGAAGAGGAACCTTTTCGGTATCAAAAAGTAAACGCAACTGCTGCTTAACTTCATCCTTTTTCGGCCTACTGAAAGGGGGTTGAAAAGTTTCAAAGCCGAGCTGAGAAGGAAAAGGAAGACCAAGGGTGTCAAAGGCCGCGGCAGCTGGTGTTCAGAAAACCAGAGGATCTGTGTATATGTCTGTGACAAGAAGCGAAAAAGGTGATGATGGCATATTGCGGGTTTTTTTATTTTCTTATGTCCTTTCCTCCCTCTTTCCCCCTTTTTTTCTCTTGTTGGAATCTGAAATCAAAGCAAGGCGTTTCTGGGATTTGTTTTCTTCGCGATCATCTGGAAGGAGAAGAAAGAGCTTTTTGAGTTGGTTGAATAGGTGATGGGAAGATAAGTAGCCACAATAATAGTATACTCGATGGGATTTACATACATGCGTCGCTTCTGCCTAGATAAATGCTGTTCAATGAATGAACGGTGTTGGTCACCTGTTGATGAAGGTGGTTGTGAGTTCCCTTAACCTCTCTCAGCCAAACCAACATACACAAATCCAACGCCGCTGTGACACTGACAGCGATTAATTCAACATCAGGCCGTGTGGCGCAACGGTAGCGCGTTACTTTCCGGTACTTGTCATCTTCAGTTGGTAAAGGCTCTGGGTTCGAGTCCCAGCATGGTCGATTCATTTTACCTTTTTCTTTTCTATGATGATTCTTATGAGTTCTCTTCTCCTCCACTTCACTCGGTCTTTCATTTATTTTTGTGTCGTTATTGTTTCCTTTCTTATAGGCTCATCGTGGGGCTGATCCTGTATGTCAGCTCATGCACTTGAGAGTGTGCTACTACATAGATACCTGTTTCCCAGGTCCAGATGTTCAGAGACATGATAAACAGAGACCATGTCTTTGCACCCGGACCTCGGTCTGTCTCGGGTCACATTCATGAAACAGGACGACATCCTTTGAAGCATGCTGCTTTGATATCTTTTCAATAATTTGAGCTTTATATATACTTTAAGCAATACCAAGTATGGAATACTCGGATGGATGTACAGTACATGAATCTCCCATCCCGTCCACTAATACAAATGTAGATACATCAACCGCCATCTTCTCAGCAAACAAATGCTATGAACAGTTATTAAAACGCAATGCAATTATAGAACGAAAACAGGAAAAACGAGAAAAATTATTGCAAAACAAGAATGCCTTATTATCGTATATAATGGACTCCTTTCCAAGGTTGTTGTCCTCTCTGTATCCCAAAAACCCATCCAGATAGGATATGCAGCCCAGTTTTAAACGAAAATCCGAAAAAGAAAGAACATGACAAAAGCGGAATCGCACTTGGGGTATTTCCTCCTCTGTGTCTCTCTGTTATACTTTCCTTGTCCATCTTCTACCCTTTTCTACTACTGCCCGCAGTCTCTCCTCATCATTATTGTATGTGTATCATGTTTATCATCCACCTCTTTCCCCATGATCTTCTCCTTTGTTTATAGATTAATCAAGGCAGTCTGCGAGAAATCAGGCGGATTCTTTCCGTAAACCACTCTGACCTCGCTGTCAAGAGCTGTACCATCATTCGTGATGGCAATGTACTTGCTGAAATTGTTCGTTCGTCTAATCTCGTCATCGCTGACCCCCAAATCATCGCGAGGGATCCAAACAATCGGTGGCGTGGCCCTGAGAGCCGAGTGCTGAAATGCTTCCCTGACAAGAGCATCACGCTCGGCAGCAGTTAGATCCTCAATGCCATCGGCATAGTTCCCGTACAGAGCGTTGCCCATTGCACGCTGTGCCTCGAGATCTTTCAACCGCTTCTCCTTCCTGTAATGTGCCGCCGTACGGATCGATTCATCGGCCTTGGAGAACGTAGCCTGCCTAATCTGCCTTCCTCCTCGTGCGGCCCAATGACCCGCCTGCGCAATGCCCTTTGCTGGATTGAACTTACCGAGAGCAGACTGAGTCCTAGTATGTCTGCGGTGGTTCAGCTTCTCGAGCTCAATGTCATCACCGCTCATGGCTCCGGTCACAGCTCTATTAAGTCCGGTGGCCTCGTCATCATCAGATATCAGCCCCAGACGACGCTCCTGGGCACGACGGAACGCTTCGTCACGGAGGACAGCTTCGTCTTCGAAGGTAATCGGGAGGTAGCGAAGCAAGGGACCGAATGATGCATTCATAACGTACTGGAAAAGTACGGTGAGAATCAAGGCCACAATCATGACGATTGCTTGTCTGAAACAGGCTGCGTTTCCATTCTCGTCCCGATCCAAGAAGAAAAGACCAATCATGCACAGCTCCATGACATAGAGCCCTGTAAATGTTTGATTGATGGCGCGTGGGTATAGCACGCCACCAGTGTCTGTCTTGAACCTGGTGACGTACAGCATGTTGTAGCGGTGGGCCACCCAGAGTAAGCTGAAGGTGATTATGGCGAAGATCGAAATTAGAGGTGCGACAATCGAGTAAATGAGCGCAATGCAGGCAAAGTTGGTGTAGACGGGGAAAAATGAACCCCAGTTGACACTTGGAAGTTTTGTGTTGCGTTGCCATTTTGCTCGTGCCGTATTATCAACGATTCTTGCCCAAAAGTACCAGATAACGAGGGTGCCAACTTGGAGCAGGGTTCCTGAGCTCGTTGACAAGGCCTGCAGAATCATGTATGCGAAAAAGTAGTTGGCAGCCTTTGGAAGATTTTTGGCCAGGATCTCGGTTGTACTACCAACGTTCTTGCTCAGTTCGTCGATTACCTGGAACGTACCAGATGCTATTGAGACAATCAAGAAGACCTGAAAAAAAAGGAAGGCAAAATAGTAGATCTGGACTATTTCGGACTTTCTTGAGCCTGTCTTTGACCCCTGAAATCCTGCCAAGACGTCAAGGATAACAGGCACCAAGGACAAAATGATTGACAGCACGAGAGCTGGCAAGACACCAGCAACTGCCTTAATCAAATTATTGACTGTTTTACTCGCCGCCAAGAAGCTGAGCCACTTGTAGTTCTCGATGAGGGCGTCGATTTGAGCCAAAGATGCTGTCCAAGCCACAGGGAAAGCCCAAAGCAGTACCATGCCGGTGACGATAGCAAAGACTATGACCCGCCTCAACCATTCGTTCCACCACATCAAAGCCATGTTGTCCCAAATGACATCATCGGGCGAAATTTCAACCATGCGGGGTGCCATGTGTTTGGGGACGTGATGGGTGACTGCTTGGCAAGCCATGTGGGCGGCAACTTGATGATTGAACTGGATGAACGCTGCGTTCATAACTGGGTATCGCTCCGGATGTTTCTGGTCCTCGTCAATCTCCATGTTGAGTTGTGCAAGCTGCTCGCGACACCAGTAGATGGTGTCAACTTTCGGACTGATAAATGGCAGGCCAGGAAGCCATGAGGGCGTCCAGTCGAATCTTGGTGCTCTGTGATGAGGCCGCTCCTTCGGCTTCAGCCAGCGCTTCCACTCGGCGCCTTCTTCCGGTGTTGTCCTGTAATCGTAGGTATATGCAGTTGGGTAATGCACGTCGAGCTCATCATTGTGAGACCATGGGAGCGAAGCTATGAATTTCTCCCAGAACGACTTCTTATTATCCTTGTTCCATGGGTAGTCGCCGCTCTCATAACCTTGAGGAATCGGCGATGCGTAACTCCCAGTAGGAGGCTTCCAAAACTGAAACCAGTAAGTCTTCTTGGTGACAATCATCTCCTCCATATTAGTAGCTTTGCGAGTAGTGTTGCCAAAGGACACGGGATTGAAGTCATCGTAGCGCTTAAGCTCCGAGTCCTGCGAAACGTTTGAAGACGTGTGAGCATGGCGAGCCTGACTATTCAGCGGCCTCTCCGAAGCAAACGAATTCTTAGGTTTGTCATCATCATAGGCGTGTCCGTGAGAGTCGGAAACGGTTGAAGTCGGCGAAGGTGAGCCCCTTCCCTGGTTGGCAGCGTCGATTACCTGGAACCCACCCGGTTTGCCTACTATTTTGTTGTCAAACCCTTTCTGTAGGGCCTTTGCTCCCCCCACAATTCCTAAACCGGCCCCGGTTACAGCAGAGCGTCCCTTCTCGACTCCCTTTCCAAGGCCTTGTCCAATTTTAGTGAAGGGAGTTGCGCGACCACCACTAGCATTATTGCCCATCGTCTCTTCGGGGTCCTCCTGCACATCGGCCAAATCGCCCTGGTGGGGTCTGCCTTCAGCTTCGCGAACCAGATCTTGAACCCCCTGAGGAAGCCTTGGGGTATTAGCACTCAAGCCACCTTCTTCCTCAGCGCGTCGTTGTGCTTCTGCGTTCTCGGCCTTTGCGCGCTCAGCATGGTGAGCCTTCGCAGCTCTGCCTTCTGTGGTGAACTTTTGGAAATGTCCGCTGCCATCTGCTTGCTTGAGCTGTTTCCGTTTCGCTGCTCGTATCAAGTCACTTTCGGCTCCCTCCAGCTGCTTATGAATTTTGTCACGTTTGTGAATCTTTTCGAGGAGTGGCGTGAAATCCCGGGTGAGCCAGACATTTCTAATGCCGCCGGGGAAAACATCAAACAATCCTCTTAGGGCTTCTTCCGTCAGCCACTTGTCCGGGATGGAGCTGACTAGAACGGTGTTGGCTGAGGCGCGCAGCCTATGTTCTGCGCTGGTCAGGTAGTCCTGACGGATCTTGACGTAGACTCGAAGTTCGGCAAAAAAGACTCCGCATACCCAGATAATCACCAAGAGAGCTAGGACTAGGTGACCCCAACGTCGATGCATTTTGTTATTTGGAATGTTGCCCCACGCCAATGTGTCCAGTCCCTTGGGGAGATCCTGGGTGGTGGTATTGGAAGAAGTCGAATTGTTGGCGAGGTCGTCGTCCTTGATGTCATCCACAACTCCTTGACCCCGCCCGCCGATGTAGTTGAGTGGAAGCAATATCGGGATGACAACAATGGCGATGGGAATAAAAATGATCAAAAGGGTTTGAAGATATCGTAGAAAGAAGTAGGCGTCGAGTCCGCACTTTTTGATGATCTCGCGATCCTTGAATGCCATAAGCTTGTATACCAGGGCCCAGTGACTCGCAGGCGGGGGGTCAGTTCGTTCGCGCTCGGGTACTAGGTAAGTTTTGGGCTTGCTACACATAAATAGTTAGCTGTGAAATGCTTGCTTTGGGTTAATTGGAACTCACAATATTCTGACGACTTTGTTTCTCAAGAGCAAAAACAAGCCCGTCTGTATGCCAAAGACAATCAACGAAGCTGCCAACGCAGTAAGGAAAGCCACCAGGCTGATGCCTGCCTGTCCCTGTGCAGTTCCGCTACCTCCATCTGGCTCACCGCTCGCAGTGGTTTGAGATGATGTCGTCGTTGTCGTTGATGACAGAGCCGCTGATGTAGAAGTGATTGATGACGTTAGTGACGAAAGAAGCGAGGTTGAGTCTGATAGTATCGTCGATAATGACGTTGGCGTTGTCGTCGCCGTCGGTGATGTCGTGGGGCTGGCCATCTTGAAATGCCAACGCTAGCATGTACCGTTGAATGGTGCAAATAGGTATTAATCTTATGAACAGGTAGGAATGATCTCTCTAGGCGAGTGCAGTCGCCGACAATGTGTTGGCCATATGTCCTTCCCTACACAAGGTCCAAATGATTGGGACGCTTAGATATTGTGCGACGAGGAAGGTGATGTATGTTTGTATGTTAGGATCACGAAACA